CAGGCTAAACTCACAAGACAATCAAAACTCCATTAACCTACTTGGAGTTGTAGCTCAGGAGGCAGAGCAGGTCATCTATTAATCAGAAGGCTGTTAGTGGTTTGATAGCTGCTCCAGTCTGCATGCGAAATCATCCTTGGGCAAGATGCTGAAGTTGCTCTCCAGTGCATTTATTGGAGGGTGAATGTTAAATAGAGAGCATTCAGACCTAGGAAAAGGGCCCCAAATTATCATATAGCATTGCTGGGTTTAGTAACTAAAAAGTGGAGGATAGAATTCACATTGTAATCACATTACTGTAACATTTATAAAGTCACAGCTCAGCACTATTTGTCAAAATTCCGGGAATACGTCTGTCTGGCTGCTGACCTTCTGCTTTCCTGCTGTTTCCTGATCAGCCAAAGTCACGAGATGGAATCTGACTTCCAAAGAATAATGTCTGACCGAAGGTCACCAGCAAATTAGATGAAGGTTGAAACTTATCTTCCAGCGACAGCAGCTAGAATAAAGGTAATATATAGAAATATAGAAAGAAAAACTATAGAAGCAAAAATGGAAGAAATAAAAGCTAAAATATAGGGAAGTAAATAAGTAGAAACATTTAATAAATGTTCACCTTTACTGAACTGTGTAAAATAATTTAAATATTCAAGTCGTTTTAATTTTAAATGGATAAAACATCACGAAAACTTCACTTTGTTTTCTTAGGTAAACAATTACCCTTTTTACCTCATTGTTGACCTCAAATCTTAGCCCATAAAGCATACTGCCCCGAGTGCCTGAGTGGCAGTAAAAGTGTTTAAAGTGCTCCGACACTCATAACAAAGTGGATGTTTTCCCTCTAAAAAGCGCAGCCCGGGGCATCTGCCCGGTGATGTCACCGCCAAGAGATTAATCTGAGTCAGACCTCTGCGCCAGCTCCCTTCTCCTTTTCCAACAAGAGGCCCAGAGCAGGCTGGGGGAAAAAAAGCCCACAGCATACCTCTCATTCCTTATCCCTGATCTAACACTAACGGACAGTTCATTTCTTTGTTGCTCTGCATAATGGGATTTCTGAAGTTACAAAGATCTGCAGACATGAACTAATCTTGATTTTGGGGTTACTCCTTTCAGTTACGATGAAAAGAAGTTTATGAAATAGAGACAAAACAAACTACAGAAGACTCATTGCAATTATTCATTCTCAAACAGATAACATCTGGGTGGTTCTTCTTTACAGGGATTAACTAAGCACAGTAGGAGGTATTCAGTCACGGAGGTCCAGTCCATCAGACTTAATTTTTTTTATTGTTCATACGTAAACATTAAATGGGATGGCCGTAAAATATAAACACTGTGCTGCTTCTATGACATATCTAAAGGGCCCCTCAGCTTTATAGTTCAGTTTGGTGTTCTTGATTAATTGCCTGTTGTTTTACAGCCCTCAACCTTTGCTTCATTAACCTAAATGGGGCAGCAGGAGGTAGCTGTGACTCATGGAAGGTGTTTGAATAGAGTTTACATAGTTAAGCATTTAGCAGCCAAAGAGCCAGATAATTTCCCCAGAAACCGGTGGAGACCAAAACCAGAGCTACAACAAGGTATTGATGGAAAATGGCAAATCTGGCATTAATGTGTCATTAGGCAACTGCCAAATTCAGCAAAACAACTTTGTTTCTGTTTCTGTTTCCAAAGTGGTCAGTGTAGCAACTATTCTGAAGCCATGCAGCCTAAAATAAGAGACTGTGGTACTGGATACAAAGTATCATTCGCTGTGAGTTGAGTAGAATGTTTTTTAACAGTCTTATAGACAAAGCAGCTGTAGTCGTCTTGCTTTTTGTATTGGGTTTATGTCCGTATGGGCTAATCAGTGGTTGCTGCTATAGCTTTGCTGAGGCTTGCTACATTTGCATTCTCTACATTTAACCTGAAAGCATAATATCAGCAAGTATGAGCTAAAATTTCCTTTTAAGGTACTCATCCATTCATGTTTGACTGCTTCAAAAAGAATTGCTGGGAAAAGACAGCGACCACTTGAAGCCATTTGAAGCTGCAGTTTGTGCTGATGTTGTTCCCTGGTGACACTTCTGAGATGTGATTTACCTGAAACAGCATCTGAAATTTAAAAAAAATGAAAAGACTTTATGCAGGTCAAATAAAAACAGTGTTATGAAAAATGTCAGCTAACCTGTTAACATGCTGCTTGTGTTTCTGGGAAACACCGGCTATCACTTTGCAGAAAATTTTCTCCTTCCTTCTGTCACACACCCACACGCCGTCAGTACTAAATGCTAACAGTGACCTGCTTTAGTGTCTAAACCACCATCCATGCTTGTTTTATCTTGTATCTGATCTCCTGCTCTTATCTGATTTCTTCGAATTACTGTTTATGTCTGGATCTGATATCTGAGGGTGTGAGGTTTGATTTTTTTTTGTTTGTTTGTTCGTTCGTTAGATCTGATCTCCAACAAACGCTTTGGTGTTAATGCTAGCATGTACCTGCAGTTGCATCAGATTGATGGTGTAATAGTTCCTAACTGCCGTGACAAATGCAGCTGCCTCAGGATTAATCTTGTGGGTCATGTGGTCCAGATTTAGGCTGGAAATGAAAACAAGTTTCCATGTAGCTCTGTGGTTTCTCTATCTGATTCAGAAGCAGCACGTCTGGGTCGCAGAGAGGGGAAGAGGTTGAGCTGTGATACTTTCTGCTGCAACATGAATGCAGCCCAGTAGCCACCTGTTATGAGACTGTGTGTGTGTGTGTGTGTGTGCAGCTGGGAGCAGCATCAGCTGAATGTTACTCAGCTCGATCCTTTGCTTTGAATAAATGCGCAGCTGATGTTTTTATGTGGCTGATTGTGTTTTGATGAGGCGAAAGACCACAGAACCTAATGAAATACACAAGATTGTAATGTGTTATTTTGATCCTTTTTTCTTGTCTTTGCAGTTTTCCATGACGCCACCTCTTTTCTTCTCTACCTGGTAATACTGGCTGAGCTATTCGTCCATTCGTCGTCCCGTCCCACCCCTTGTCCGTACAGCGTGTTTGAACCAATGATTCATCAGTTGGACAAGATCATCGCCTCCTCCAAAAAACTCCATGGTTTGGTAAGATTTAACTTTACACTTCCTGTGCCAGATCCATGTTGGCTTTTCTGTTTTAGAACCTTTTTTTTTTTTGTTTCAAAACTTGTTGTTATTAGGTCAAAATAATCAGATCTTTCCTCACTGACCGAAAACTGGACTCCAACTAAGAAATAGAAAAATTTGAGGCGTTACTAAAAATAAGTTTGTAGGAGTGTTCGTGCAAAAGGCTTGTAAAATGTCTCGGTAAATGAGAGAATTGGTTGTGCGCTTTTTAATAAAGCAAGTGAAAAATTAGTCATTTAAAGAACATAGTAAATCACCAAAAGTGAAAGTGCATAACTGTAAACTGAAAGCTTGAAAAATGTCTTATTTGATTCAAGTAAGCATTCGAGTTTATGTTTAACAATTAAAAATCCTATATAATAAGTATTATAAGGAAATGTGGTTATGTTTTAAACCTCCGTTTTCGCTATATTTTAACAGCCAGAAGCCGAGCTTGTGACCTTCATGGACGTAGAACACAAACTGGACGGTCTTCCTGTAATAAAACACACTGCTGCCCATCTCAGCTCGTTGAAGGTAATCATCCAGCTTCTCCTATCAGTGATTTAAATGGTCAAAATGCACTGAAATGCATCGAAGTTTAAAAGACATTCACTTAATTTGTCGCCTTAACATCTCCGCAGGTTAACGAGTCTCTCCCTCAGCTCTACGTGTACGCCGAGTCCTTCAGGCTGCACACCAAGTGGTTGAAAACTGCACAAGTAAATGTCAGTGTGCCCTTTCAGGCAGCTGAGGGCGCCAGCAACCACCTCGAGCAATTGTCCGATCTCACCAAAAAATTTCTAGAAAAGGTGAGAGCAACAGTATGGCTTGATTTTACTGAGTTTGCTTGTTTTTAGAAAGAAAATCCACTGAAAATGACACACAAGAGATTTCTTACACTTTAATTTAATATTAACTTTAACTGAAAACTGATACTGTTGATATTAGAGCAAAACGTAAATTAAGGAATAAGGCTACAAAACGTAAAAGATAGTGTTTGACATAAAAATGTAAAACTTTAACTGTGACTCACATTCATCTTTTGATTTTTTGTTTTTTTTGTGTTGTTTTTGACCACATAGTCATTACATAATTTAATCACCATCTGGGTTAAAAAAAAAAAAATAAAGGAATAAAGACTAAATTCATTGGTAACTAAATAATCTTACTCTTTTTTCCTGTCTCTCAAAGAAAGCAATGACCAAAATTAACAAAAGGAAACAAACAAATTAAGAACAGACATTTAATCATTCAACTCCACAGCTAAATGTATTCATTCACATTAAAACTCATCCAGAGGGTGAAGAGAAAACGATCAGTTTTTGTGCTTTCTCAGATTCAACCAATGACTTTTGTCTCTTTCTTTCCATCTTCAGATCGGTGAACAAGTTCCTGAGACGGCGTCTCCCTCCCTCCCGGTCGTCTCCACAGCCTTCGAGGCTCTCAGGTTCTCTGTAGAGATCTCAGACCGGCTACAAGTCTTCTGTCACTGGTCAAAAAGAATCTTACGGCAACTCCAGAGACGATCCCCCTGTCCAAAACATTAAACTCAAGCCTCCAAGACAAAACTAGTATGTGATGTCTTCCTACACAACCACTGTCACATTTTATGATTTTCCCTTCAGCATTTGAGCTGGACTAAAAAATATTGAATATCTGATATCATATCATGTCGTGGCAGGATATGATATTTAATTTTCCATTACTCTGAAATTTTTCATATTTGATTGAGGTCCATGATACAGAACGTTGAGTTAAACGTCTCAACAGTGATGGGGTAATAGATGTTGATGTCTCCCTTGAGATGAACGGTCTGACGTCTTGTCTGTATTTTGTTTATTTGTTTTAAATTCAGTTACTTCACTTTAGTTTATTTTTAACAAATGCCTTTAAAACTGCAACTCCCAGCTGGACTAAACTTTGTGTTTTGTTCTAATAAGTCAGTTTTAGCCTGCTAACATGCTAATCTGAGAAACATTGTAAATCTGCTAGCACCAGAATGTACTGTCGTTGTTATTGTGAGCATTCTTAAATAGCCACTGTAGTTCAAGTACAGCCTTACGAAGCTACTAGCATGTCAGAAGTGGTGAGTAGAGAGTAGAGCTACAGAAAAAAGTTCAAAAAATGCAAGATAAAGGTTTGAGCATTTTTAAAATTAGAGAAATCTTACTGGATTATTGGGATTTTCTTTATGCTGCCTGTCATTAAGAAAAGGAAACGGAATGTACTGTACGTTAATGTAATTTGCTATTTATAAGAAAATACGTGTATGTCACAGTTTACGTGTCGCCTTTGAAAATGTATTGTATTAATGCACTGTGCTAAGGTACTGTCACCCGTGACCTTTACTCCCTCTCAGACTGTTTACACTCACAGTGCCTGCAGTTCGTGTTTTTTTTATTGTTATTTTCGGTACATAATTAGGTTACTATTTATAAGCTTTTATATTATGTATTTGTATGTCAGTTTAGCTGCAGATGCAGGCATCTCCAGCTAAACATTTTTCTACGTCAAAGTATTTTGTAATATTTAATAATAATATCTATCATTCTATAAACCATCATATTGCTATTTATATATTTGTATGTCTTGTTTTACAGTCATTAATAAAACTGCCTTAGAAACTGATGTAAGTGCTCAGTGTGATACTTTTGGTGTGTGTCTGTCTGTTTGTTTTTTAAATATAATGACATTAAAGAGATTTTTGATTATTTACTTTAACATTTGCTCCTCACTTGTTAGAAAAACCTCAGCACTGGTGTTTTTAATAGTTTTGATCATCACAATCTCCTGTGTTGAGTTCAGTATATTTTTGAGTGCACGATGCAGAAAGTACAAACATAACGGGAGAGTTTATTACTGATTGTACAAACCAAACACAAAATCCAAAACTGTTGAGTCCATGAAGGCGGGAAGAACAAACCATCAGGGAACCCAAAGATCCAGAAAGGAACGTGAAACCGGAAACACAGAGATGACATTTTTATATTTTGGCTGCTTTGACACAGATTTTTCCCAACCTTTGAGTAAGATAAAGCATATCTCTATTTTAACTGAGACCATAAACTCATTAGGAAATCTTCACTGAGTTGTAAGTCAAAAGTAATTTGATGTCATAAGAGTCGCCCCCTGCTGGCTATTAGAAAAAATGCAGGGCACTGTAGCATTGACTTCCCTTTTTAGATCCAGAAGTTTTACGTCTGTCTTTTATATGTTTATATATATATATATATAGATAGATAGATATAGATATAGATATAGATATAGATATATATCTATATCTATAGATATATAGATATATATCTGCTGAAACCCAAAACGGAACATGGTTTTATACAACTTTTCCCCCTAAAGCTGAATAAATACATCTAGCTTCTTGAGTAGAAAACACAAACATGCCACACATGTCAGTGGAACGCTAAAACTTTTAAATAGCAGGGGTAAAAGTGACCACACAAGTCCGGGTGACACATGAGGGGAATGTACCGACTGCCACTGTCCAGCTGCGACCTGTAGCCCTGAACTGAAGTGACACCGTGTTGCTTGCATAATGAGGATTGCATATGAGCGTGTTGACATGTAGGCGCAGACAGATGATCTCACCCACAGACAGACTTTCACTGTAACTAATATGAGGCCTCCAGAGGAACACTGCAGTTGTCCAGTATGTGTGGACTGTGGTGGCTGGTAGCAGCTGAGAGCAGGATCAGTGAAATCACAAGGGGTCCGGGTGTTACAGGAGAATCCTTTCACTGGATATAGAGCTAGAGAGGGTTGAAGAAAGGCGTGACTATATGTGTATGATTAGTGACCAACGGGGCAACAAGGGACCAGCAGAGGAGGGAATAACCAAAACAACAATATGCTGATTAAAAATAGTTTTCGCTGTATTGGTACCATTAAAAACTATGACACCAATGTTCAGTTTGGTTCAGTTCCTCATAGATTACTATGAGCTGATAAAATGCTCTTCATCTCGGTGCCAGAGGACACTTCACTGGTGTTTACAAGTCAATGTTCAGAGCAGCTGGTGAATGCTTATGATGACAGAGAAAAAAGAAAAAGAGGAACATAAAAGACACGCTGATCATGCTACAGATTAGAAACAGGCTGAATAAAGATTCTTAAGCTTTTTTTGAATGACACTTGTTGATTTAAAATCACAAAGCCCCACGAGCTAAGCAATATCAAATATTTGGGTCATTATAGGAATGTAGTCTCATATGTTCCCTGTTCTCTGCTTCACCACATCTGCACAAGAAGAGTAGACCACAGTTACGTGTGGGAGCTGAAAACAACCCAATACATTACTGTAAGTGCAATAAATGCTTCCCAGTGAGCGCTGAACCTAACATGACTGCATGAGGAAAAGAATCCAACCGTCGACTACATTTTCCTTTGAGAGCAACAGATTTTTGTGGGGGTTTGTACTTTCTCCTTCCATGCTCTTCCAAGCTAGTGTTCCTTTTTGAAAGTATGCATGTCTACCATTGTTAGGTGGCGCTGAGGTGTGGTGTAGAAAGCATTGAAAAACACACCACTCAAGCTTTGGTATTCAAAATAAATAACAGATCTCAGATATTTGCATTCCAATCACAGCAGTAATAAATTTTATCAGACTGAGTGCCACATTAAGTGAGATTTATTCTTTGACTTGATCACCTATCCATTTTCTTAACCATTTATCCAGCTATCCAGGACTATACCCTGGATCCAGACTAATTCCATTGTCCTTTGCTGCAGCTGTCTATTGTCAAACCA